GCGCGAAAATTCATTCATGACAACCGACTGCACACCAGTAACTCGATAAAGTTTCATCTTCAGACAACTGTGAAGACAGTTTCGCATTTCTGGCAGAAGAACATCGTCCATTACTTTGGAAACAATGTCTGTCAAAAGATTTGCTTTGTAAACATTAGCACACATGTCAGCAGTGTACACCCATGGGCAAATAGTAGACGCTAAATTAACCAATCAGAGCACACGCTTTACTTTAGTTATGTTATAATTGTTAATTATTGTGGGTTCTGGGTTTTCATAGTGCATCTAGTATCCTAAATCACTCAGTGATTCTACCTCTGCTAAACCAATAATCTTTAATGAACTGTTTTTGGAAAGGTTAAGGAAAGGTTATCAAAAAATAAAACTAATTCCAGAGAAAAGTTGTTATGTGTAAGCTATTAAGTTAATCAACTGTCCCAATAGACTAAAAGTGAGGCAAGCAATACTTCTTGTGTCATCAATATAACTTAACAAAAATCCACAGCTTGTTTGCTGTTGACAAATAATAAATTGCCTGGAATATTAATTTTCAAGTACTGTCACAAAAGAAGTATCTTTCTTGCATGTCAGCAACAACTACTTTTCAAGCCATGGATTGAGTATGTTACATACCGTCTAGATATCAACATCCCCCACCATCTCCCCTTGGTATATGTCGCACATGTACCCAGGGAAATGGGGATTTGACATCTGTGGTCATCAGTGGAGTAGGGAATTTGACAGTCCACGTGAGGGATGGGAGACCTGAACATATTCACATGCTTTTCATGTTGACTGAAATCATGGGAGAGATCGCAGAAAAGGGGTTTTACTGTGAAGTTTGTGACATCCTGGCCAAATAAAATATGCTTGCAAAAGCTGTGTGTTTCATTTGAAGGTAAAATATAGCATTTTGCTTATATCTTCTGTGTCAAACTATGGTAAAGTCTAGATACGAACCAAGTGACCCATCAGGCCAGCCCCTATCTCTGGTTTCAGTGGGATGAAGTAGCTAGGAGTATTCTCTTCCCCCCTGCATAGGATGCTTCTCCATCACAGGGTTACCCACAGCATTAAAATTCCCCATACCTATTTAAACACCTGGGTGGAGAGAGACACTGTGAGGGTATAGTGTCTTGCCCAAGTACACAAAACAACGTTTCTGGCCAGGACCTGAACCGAGATCACTCAACCTAGAAGTGAGCGCACCAGCCATGAGGCCACCATGCCTTGGTTGTTGTCAAACTACGTTAAAATTGTATTTCCAAATCACGTTTATATTTAATTTCTATAACATTGTTACAGGTTTATTCAAGCTTGTCCTTGGGGCTAGGAGGATTTAATTATATTGCCTAATAAGACCCTCAGGTTGGGCACTTTTATCATTATTTTTGGCTCTTGGGATAAGAATTTGACCCACCGAATATGACTCCCAAATGCACAGGGTTTGTCCGTGGAGGAGAGGGGATGTTAAAGTTTCGTACTGACCAGTACACTTCGTAGCACTGCTTCAGTCACGCACCGATTATTTATACGCCAGAGGCCACAATTGTACGCCAGTATGCCGCAGGATTTAAAACCTCCCAAAAACCCTCGTTAATTTTAGAAGCTTTACCCGGCTATTTAAACAAGAGGCACAACCCGCGCGCTGAACTTGCGGGCCAACCTTTGTAGGATTTTGCTCGTTAGCCATGCATGGCTATGCATTGTGGATGCAGCAAGGTATTTTCTGCTACTTTTTGTGTTCTTAAGCATAAAATTTCAGGTAGATATTCACATTCTAAGAAGAAAACTCACCTAAAACGAGGATGTTTGACTTTCAAAATGGCGGCCTGCATGTGAAAGCCGCTGACATTGTGAGCTGTGTGCGAACAAGCAAACTTGATGAAAATCCCCGTATGTTACGGAGAGGTCGCCATCTTGAAAAACCGAGTGTTGTCTGTAGTTGACGTTCAACGGTTGTTTGTACATATTGCAAATCAATTTCTAGGTAAAAAACCCAATTTGTGGTGAAATTAACCTTAATTGTGCATGGCATGTTAATTTTATTCAGCTTTTCGTGATTTCTTTGCACTTGCATAACGTTTGTATGGACTACAAGATCAAGACCTCGAAAAATACCGTATTATGATTGAGGTTGTGTTCACTTTCAATAGATTTTGCAGTCGCACCATGTGGAGGTTGACTTTGTCAAAGGCGGCCAGGGTTAAACCTTTGCAAGGTTTAACACCCTCCTTGCAAGTTGCAGGTGAGGTTCTTTTCTTATAACAAACAGCCTCTACTGATGTACCGTAGACGATATTTGAATTCACTCCATTTAACCTTATATACTTATATGCATTACCCAGATATTTCAAATTTCTTAAATCAGCTAGACTGATAAGCAGTAAAACTAAGAAATATTCTAGTTGTTTAATCTGGATTTGTTGAGTATGAAAAATTAGATGTTCCATTTATTATCTACAACCCCTCCCCAACAAAGCCAACAAACCTTGGAATCTCGGGATGTAAACTTCATAGGTGCCAGCTGCCAAAAACTAGGTTGTCAGAATCTGCCCTCCTTAGGGGTTGGGAGTGGTGGATAAAAAATAAAATGATGGAGTGTCCCATTTGTCCCATTTGTGTCCCATGAGTGTCCCATACTCAATAATTTCGCTTTAGTGTATCTGTAGTCTCTCTTCGTAACTGTTGTTAATTATTATTTGTAATATCGTTAGCTTATTAGTTGTCTTTAGTCATTGTTGTCAATTCTAGTCTCTTTAGTTCTCTTGTTACCTTCAGTTGTATTTAGTTGTACCTAGTTGTATATTAATAACT